CCGGCTCAGCGCCAGCGCCGACCCAGACCATCCCCTCACTTCACTCTCCAGGCTTCATCCTCGTCCCAATTCGGGGTTTGCTCCCACCAAGCCTCCCACATCACCCACTAGCATCTCGCTGTCTTTCCCAGACTAATGCTTTCTGTGATGATGGTTTTGCACAAATAGTGACAATTAAGTTCCTTGAAAGAAAAAAGACCCATCTTTGGCTTCACCCTCAGGCAGAGGGGGCTCCTGTGGGCCTGGTGAGACCCTGCACCCACCGTGCAGGGCAGCCCTGTGACTGCGTGTGGTTTTGCCACGCTTGGGTAGCAGGATTAGGAAAGCGCCCACTCACCAATGCTTCCCTTCCACATCTTCTCCTCCTTCTTCTCCTCCGCTATCTGGTTGCTGGTGAGCGAGGTCTGCCGCGAATGGGCACCTGCAGCTGCCGCGATGGATGGGACCGACCGAGCGGGTCGCAAGCTTGCACTGTCGCTTTTACCAGGGTCCTTCCGTGACCGCTGCTGCAGGACCTTGATCATGGCATCTTTCTCGATTATTTTTGCATGGAGATTCTTTATTCTGCCAAAACATGACAGCCCTGATTATGGAAATGGACTAACTTGTAGGTCGTGGCTCACCGCACCCCACTGCAGTGGCACTGGTCCCTGGACCCACGCTGATGTTCTATCCACCGTGGGCTGAAGTGACCCCAAAAACATAGCTCCTACCATCCCCCTTGAGGGACAAAGCCCTCACATAACACCTGAAAAGAGCAGCATTTCTGGCTCCAGAGGTAGAACAGGGACATTCTTTACAAGATTCAGTAAATCCATCTATTTCTGTGGCTTCAGTAGACGAGCAGGAGCCATGAGACTGATGGGGACTGTGGATCACTCGCATCCCTGAAACAGGATCACTCACATCCCTGAAACATGAAAAGCAAGTCGCTTTCCTCACGTTTTGGGGCCAAAGCTGGAATCCCTCATTTTGGCAGACTTTCCCTGGGAGGGGTTTGCCTAAGTAAATATCGTCTGAATTAACTGAGCTAACCGCATGACTCGAGTCTGTTGCTGGAAGAAAGATCTACTGCCACTCAACTGAATGAAAAAAGTTCCCTTTGGCTTCTGTAACAGTTGGGCTTTTGGGCCCTAAATGATGCAAAAAGAATCGGCACTCAGCATACAGAGTTAAACAAAACTCTACTTTTTCACTAGAGACCCACAAAGACTCTGAAAACACACAATATTGATAATCAGAGATTTTTTCTTGGGAATGAGAGGGGACTTAAGACCAAACCATAGTGCAGAAGACTGAAGCTATATATTAAAAAAATTCTATGTGTACAAAATTATAATTAAAAGACTGCATCTTTACAGCAGTACACAATATATAGTTAAATGCAGCAGCATTTTGTGATGCAATTGAAACTGAAATGCCATGTCTGGAAAGCATATACCTACAAGGGAGATACAGTGACTTAATTTTGGCTTTAGTTTTCATAATCAGATGTCTGACTTGCAACAAAACACAAGATCCTCATCTATCTTTAATGAAGTCATTGGCAGAAGTCCATTGTTTCATTGGAACCAGGACATAAAACCCAGTAGAAATCATTGTTTGTATCTTCCATATACAAGAACAATACTGTTTTATAAAATAATCTGTTTTTTTCCTGTAACAAAGCCAGAATTGAAGAACTGATTTTATCTAGTTTTCCAGTAAAAACCTTGGAGGAATATAGATTTTTTTACTCAGGCCTTTACCAAAAAGTCTAGTGACTTTACTTCATCCGAAGACTGGATTAAAATTCTGGCCAGGTCTAGCACACATTCATCTGCCCAGCCACATGTCCATTTGTGTGCTGAAAATGGAGAAATATTTGTGCAAATGAACATTTTTCTCTCTGACTGTCTGTGTCTAAGGAAGTTTATTTTACATCTTCTACTACTTGCTCATGCATCTTTTTTAGTGGCTCTTGATGCTAAATTTAGCAGCTTTGTCCTGAAATGCCATTGTGAACTTTGCACAACTCAGATATTAGCCCATCTAGAAGGAGAAAAAAGCAGGCAGTCAGCTAATGAGTTGAGTGCGGCGCAAACGCAAGTGCTCGCCTTGCTGCTTATGTAGCTGTGGGATTAAAATTTCCGCTTTTATGACTAGACACCCTTGTTTCTAGCAGGGGATTTTCACTGAGATTAAAGAAGCATTCAGCTTCCTCATATGTCAACCAACTTTTACTTGGAAGACAGCATCTGTTTTTAAGAAAGTCCCTCGGCATCAAAATGTAACCGGAAGGTAGAAGTTATCTAAGGGACATTGATTATTTGGTGTTTTAACACCAAAGGGCAAAACTAGGTGGGATGAAGCGAAGCCCACGCTTTCCGAACACGCTCCTAGCGAGCACCGAAAGGGCAGCTTGGTGTATGCGCGAGCGCCCCGGCATGCGGCCGCCCCAGCGCGCGCCCCGCCGCCGCCGCGGCTCCGTACGTGTGCTCCATGTCCTGGCAGCGGCGCTGCGCGTGCGCGACCTCCTCCTCCTCCTGCCAGGTGCCCTCGCCGTAGCTGCCGCTCCGCGAGTGCGTCGGCGCCGCCGCGGCCCTGCGAGCAAGGCAAAGCGTCAGCAACGCTCGGGGCCCAAAAGCAGCCCCTGGCCAGGAGCAGCGCTTCGGCCTCAAAGCAGGGCCCGTCCACTGTGGTGAGGCAGCTCCTCCAACCATGCGGACGGCCCTGGTGAGCGACATGGGCGACTGCAAACCCACCCAAACACACACTCAAAGAACAAACTCTTTACTGTCAACTCGGATGGGTATTTGGCGTGAGGTTGTCTTACTGCAGTCTATTCCCAGTCATTAATTTCATTAGTAACTTGCATGGTGGAACTATCCAAGAACATGCTAAAAACTGTGCCAAGGACATGAGGGGAGAACATGCTACAAACTGTGCGTGCCACCACAGGCAGGTTAGAAAACATTCTGAAGGACAGGGCTGGAGATCCAAGGGCACTCAGTGACTGGGAAAATGGTCTTGAATCAACAGGAGGGAATTAAAAAAGTAGGTACAAAGTAGTACACACAGGAAAACAAACACGGGAATTGCTGTCTAGACTAGAGTGCAAAAGAAAAGGATCCTACTCAGCCATACACGCAATCATGGCTAAAAAAGCAAGCCTCATTTTAGGATACATTCAGGGGATTTGGTTCCTAAGAAACTGGGGAAATAGGTCAATGATCCCACGCTCCTCTTGGCCAGAAAGCACAGCTGGAACATCTTATCCGCTTTTGGGCACCACATTTTGACACAGACAAATTGGAGACAACTGAGACAAAAGCAACAGGAATGGGAAGAGGTTCAGAGTACGACATATGAAGAATGGCTGGAGGAAATAAGTAAGTTCAGTCCAGGGAAGACACAACAAGAGAAATGTGTCTTCCAGCATTTCAAAGGGTTGTTGTGACATTGACAATGTTCTGCTGTTCATCACGTACACCTGGTAAGGACATGAATAAACTGACCTAAGTTGCAGTTTGGTTTCAATATTAGGAGAATCCTTTTAATTTGAAGCTTAATGAAGTACTGAAACAGGGGACCTGGTAAGACCACGAAATTTCAGTCATTGCAGGTTTTTAGAAATAGGTTAAACAAACTCATTACAGTAATGGTCTCAGTACACTTTTCTGCCACAGCTAGGAAGCAGGGATTTGATGAGGCTGTTTCAGACTCATATTTCTAATGAATAAGTGAAATTTTGCTTTAATTGTGTTTGCCTTTGGAGTTCACGAGTCATTTTTTCAGGCTTCCTGTGCATTCAGAAGGGCTGGCAAAGCTGACGGACTCTTCAAACCAGTCACCCCCAGCCACCTCACTAAACATCCAAGAATTTTGAAAGAAACCCCAACATTAAGAACGGAAATGCAATCTGAGAAGAGTTCTCAGTCTCTTTTGTTTTTAAATACTGTGGCAAGCTGTCTACTTTTCTGCACTGCTGCATTTGAAGTCAATTTTACTTCTTGGCCCTCAGGCAACAAAACACTGTCATCTTTGACTTGACAAAGCTCTGAGAGGAAAACCTTCCACTTAAAATTTATTCAAAGAAAAAACTGAGAATAATAAAAGCCCCCAAATAGTAGAAGGGATATCTTCAGTAGAGTTCTCAAGTCAGAGTTTTGTTTTTTATTTTGATTTTAATTTGTATACTGCCAAACTCATATGTGGGGTTTTTTAAAAAAGAGAAGGTCTCTTTCTAAGCAATGCTTGAGACTCTGGCTCCCAAGCATCAGCAGTGACAAAGACTTGAACTCCTGGTGGCAAAGGAAGGTTATGGATTTTTCCTCTTGAGGTTAGCTGCAGGCAGGGAGACTCCCAGGTGCACTGTGCCTTGGAAAGCCATGTCCACAGTAAGGCTAGAGCATTTCCTGGGAATAGCACACTTCTGGGGCTATACAGCAAGCTGGGTTGAATGCAGCTGTGTACCAACACAAGTCCCTCCTCGTTCCCCTAACGCTGTGATGAGGAGGTACCTTATCTGTGACAAGTCATCTGGTATGTTCAGATTTTACTGTGGAGGCCACTGCTAGAGTCTGACACTTGGGTTTGCTAAACTTTTGGACCTGGCTCAGGAGAGCAAATCCTGTGTTAGCTGAATATTGAATCCTGATGCCAGGTGCACTAATCTGGTGGAGCCATTCAGAAGGGGAAGGCAAGCAAAATCCAGCTGTAGGAAAACACCCATTCCTTACTATTCCCCCATGCCAATTCCACTGCGAGGAGATCTCCTGCCTGCAGCAAGGACACCTTACCTCTCGGTCGCAGCTGTGGCTGCAGCGTTCATGGCAAAGTGCCTGATCGTGCTCTCCTCCAGATACTTCTGCTCCCACTTGGTCATGTCTGCTTCCAGCGCCAGAATCCTCTCCTCCTTCTCCCGCACCAGCTCCATGAGGGCCGGAGCGTTGTGCTCCGGGATGCTGGCTGTCTGGTAGCTGCCCTGCCTCTGGAGGATGGAAACAGTGACAGACATTCACCTCCTGCCAAGAGCAAGAGTTGCTGGATTTTTTTTTCCATGTCTTCTCTGGAGCACACAAAGACATCCCCTGTTACAGCCTCAGCCCTGGGCTCAGAGCTTAAACAGGGCTCCTTGTCTGGGAGTGAATTTCTGAACGAAGGAGCTGGAAGCTACAACCCCAGAGATGTTAAATGGCTCTTGGTTTGTGGTTCCCAGCTCCTCGGCAGCACCCCGACACCTAGACCCTTGCTTCAAAAAGAGGCCCCTGCTATAAATGGATACAGAAGCATCTGTGAGCCTTGTCAAAAATTTCCAGGCCTGGACAGATCTGCCAGTCTTTACTTGTTCGGAAAAAAAGGCCAGTGCAACGGTGTGTCCCAGCACAGCAAGATGAGCTGGTCTGAGAAGGGCTGACAGTCAGCGAGGAGAAGGGCAGCCCTGGGCTGGGGCCGGTGCTGCCACGTGGAGGGAGCCCTTGCACTTGCAGAGGCCTGAGATAGCCAGCACACACTGCTCGGGACAGCAGAGCATGCGGGCAGGAGCAAGGGGCCATATGGATTTTGTGGGATACCTCAAGCCAAGATAACCTTCGCAGTGGGACTTGGCCCACTTCCAGGATGGCTGGGCCATGCTCCCGTCACACAGGTAGCCCTTTCCAGAGGGTTTATTTAAGAAAGCAGGAAAAAAGTGGACATAACCCAGCTACAGCTGCCAAAATACCACTAAGAAGTCCATAGACGTAAATGTTTTCTTAGGACAAAAAGCGCAAGAGATTCGTTGCCCTCTGCGGGGCGCTAAGCTCTGTTAGAGGGGAAGCTGTGTCTGCGGGCCGGTGTTTTTATGCTGCGCTGCCCCACGAACACCGGCCGGCAAAGGCCTCAGCACCTGGAGCTACAGCTCTCGCAGGCCCTTCCGTGCTCAGAAGCACATTTCCAGCTACTCCTTGGAGATGCTCATCCTCTGGTTACAAAAAGCTAGAGACACCAAGAAAGGACTTCAGGGTTTGGCTTTGGTGGGTACTAATGCATTTGGAAAATATTTGCTGGAAGTCTGATATGGAATAGACCTTCCGAGCAACTGCTGTAGCTCCACTCCTCAATTGCACTTCAAATACTGTCAAATCCCTGGCAGGAAGATAATGTCTGGAAAGCTGCTCTTAAAAGGGCATCCTGGGACACCACGGATGCCTGTCCTCTTAATTCCCATCAAGCCATCTGCCTTCTCTGTACACTCAACCCGAAATGTGCCAGTCAAGAGAATCTTTTTCTTCTTCCTAGTTCCCCCATTGGCGGCAGTGCAGAGGGGATTGTGAGGTGGAACTTGATTAGCAATTCTCTCCTCTCAGAGTGGATAGATGAGACATGAGGTCAAAGCATTTTTCTTCTTAATTCTTCTTAAATAAAACTAGTACAGACATTTGGGAACTATGGCAACCTAAAATACAGTTGCTAATTACAGTTCCAAAAAAATTAAGCAATCTGTAAGTTACCAGGGAATTTTCTGGCAAAATAAGCAGACATACTCTGAACTCCCAGGACAGAAACTTATGCGACAGTTCATCCCAGTTACTCAATGTATCAGTTTGCCCTGTATCACAGCCCAGAAAACAAAACCTTTTTTAGCTCTATTTATACCATCACTTAATTTTAACTGTATTTTTCTTGAGTATTCTTTCATTGGCAACAGTGTTAACATGCTATGCCCCCACCTTCTTTTTTTTTTTTTTTTGATTAGACAAGAGAAGTGGGGAATGGAGAACAGTTGTAGGAAGTAGACAGAAATACCCGTCCTCCAAGCCCATGGTGGACAGGACAAGAAGTAAGTCCTGTGCTGCACATAACCAAGGAAGGTTATTGTAGCAGATGCACTTCTTGACAGAGATATGAGCAAGCCCTTCATAAGTTACAGCAGCATCAGGCCTTGCTTATGTTGTTGGTTTTTCCTCAAGTGGTGGTTTAATCTAGTGCATCTGTTTGCTCACCTCTGGAGCCAGTGTCCTCGTGTTCAGCACTCAGTGCTGGCTGACACTGGGATCCTCTCTACAACCTCCTCAGGCTTCTTTTTCCTTTTTATTGGTGACCTGACGTCAGGTCTTGGGGATGGAGATTGTGGGAGACTAGGTTTCCTCTCAAAGGAATAAGTGTGCATAAAATATGAGCATAAAAGTATTCCTCTGAGGACACAGGGCTGCAAAAAAATTGAGGCGACATGGACAGAAATGCACACCCACTCTTGTAGCCTATTCTGGTTTGGATTCAGATTTAACTCATTTCTTGTTGGGAAATGTCAGTCCCATTTGTCTCTAGATCGATCATGGGCAAAGATTTCTGTGAACCACTTACAACTCCTGTAATCAGGAATTACAAGGGCTTTGCTGAGGCAAGGATTGCTTGAATACCCCAGCAACCTCGCTCTGGAGGGAGGTGACCCTGCCACATCTGAAAACAGCCCA